TCTGTGGGGATTGAACAAACGCAAATATAATCGGAAAACGAATGGAGTGGTCATGTGGTCGGGATGAAGGACGATAGGGTACCCAAGCAGTTTCTGTACGTTGAGTTGGCCGAAATAGATCAGAACGTAAGTCGAAATTGAGTTATAAAGTTTACATCACCAACACACTGCAGAAGGCCAATATCACGCAGATGACTGAGAAAATCTAACTCTAGATCATTTATCCTGGTAAAGACAGACTGAACAAAATTGTGTCGAGCATGAAAAACTCATGAGAGATATCCGTAGGTACCTTGTTAATTTATCTGAAAACGTTGGCACAGAATATGACCAAACGTGTAATGATTGTCACGTCTGTTTAAATAGGGAAGGCCTAAAATATCAAATCTCCATGAATGAAATGGAAGTTGAACAAAATATTAGGTTAGCCACAAAGTCTTGACTCACTTAGAAAGCGGAAAGAAAACAACAAATCTTGATCTCTATCTGGTGGAATTTCTAAAGAATATTGCATTTCGAGCTTGTTCCACACGCTCGGGTCATCAACGCTAAGCTGTATTGCTAATAACTAGATCACGTGTATAACAAACTAAATAAGGAGTATCCTGATTTGGTCCGTCGAAGTCGGGCTTTATTTCAGCAAGACAATGCAAGGCCCCACACTGCCATGTTGACTAAGGAGAGATTCAAACAGATGGACGGTGTTGAGATTCTTCCACATCCACCGTTCAGTCCCGATGTTGCTCCAAGTGACTATGACTTATTTCGCTCAATAGAACATTTCCTCATCGACAAGTGAGTCAACACCTTTGATGAAATGAAGGAAGCTTGTTTACAGATGTTTTTTTTTATTCAAAACCAACAGACTGGAAACTCGAACAGATTTGGATGCTGGTTGATCACTGGCAGAAGATCGTCGATAATGATGGACTTTATTTTGAAGAATAAATTTTAGTGTTGCTCCATAAACCTAATATTTAATAATAACTAATCAAATGACTTCACAGCAACTGTGATAATTTCTAAATTGCATAATAGCCAAAAATTAATTAAAAAAAATGAACAAACAGAAAATCCCAGGGGATAAAAGCGTTGGTTGAATCAAAGTTCAAACAGATGGACGGTATTGAGATTCTTTCACATCTACCGTTCAGTCCCGATGTTGCTCCAAGTGACTATGACTTATTTCGCTCAATAGAACATTTCCTCCGTGACCAGCGATACGACACTTTAGAACGTTTTTTTATTCAAAGCCAGCCAACTGACATCTGGGACAGATTCAGATGCTGGTTAATCGCTGGCAGAAGATCGTCAAGAATGATAGACTTTATTTTGAAAACTAAATGTTAGTGTTACTCCATAAAATTTTGTTGTTTTCTTCCCTCTTGCTAAGTGAGTCAGGACTTTCTGGTCAATCTAATATTAATGAAACAACTAACGTAAAAGTCTAGCAGGGTTTAAAAAGTAACACACATCAGCACTGCCCATATTTGAGGACAAAGCAAACGAAGCGATTACTTGAAATCGTGTCGTAAATATTATTAGAATGTATATGTATGTCTATGCATCTATGTAAATATATCTGATTACATAACTAATTTTTTTAATATGTGTGCAAGGGTGTCTGCGTATTTTAAAACATAATGTCCACGAAGACTTTCTTTAGATCTACCTTCATGCATCAAATGATCCCAAACGTATTTTCCATTTTTCAAATTCAGGAATCGTGCCAAGTTGATGCAGGTGTAAGCGAACAGTTGAACTTTTGAATTTAGTTATTTATTGTCGTTGTAATCATCCGTCCGTCCCGAGAGACTATGGAGTAGCGCAGTGCGCTATGAGCCTGGGCGGGATATATGGAGAACTAGGGCTGCCCGGACGTCTAGTTCCCCCTCTCGGCCTTGCTTGAAGAGTCCAAGGGTGAGGATAAACCAATACAGTTTGGTACCAGCGCGGCTGCAGGAGTTGCCGGAAGGTAGCACAAAGTGCCGTCCATCCACCTTAGGGGCTTCACTCCGGGTTTGAATTCAGAGTTGTCCTTCTCCTAGACCAGTTGCCATCCAAGGCTATAGAAGCCAGTCCTGCTATTTAACCATAGCTGGAGGGAGAAGAAGAGGATTCACACCTTTCCCAAGGGTATTAGCACTGCTAATGCCCTTGGGAAATGGATTCGACTCGAATGGATTCGAATGGAATTCGAACTCGGCTCTCCGATTTCCCAATCCAAGCTGCTATCCATTACTCCACCTCCCTGCTGAACAAGCGTTCAATTTATCAGATTTCTTCTATCAAGAAAAACTAACGTATTTTAATATTTAGGAATATGTAAATATTGCAAATGTCATTCAACAGTTTCTTATATTTCAGACATAACTGACAAGATGGCCTGGTGGCATGCAGTTTTCAAAACTTAGCAGAACTAGCATTAAAACTCTCGCTATCTAATTTCAGACAATATTTATGTGATTACAAACTCATATGTATTTTATTATTTGTGAATTTGTAAACATTGAAAATATCATTCAAACAGTCACTTTCATTTTTCAGATTACGGACATAGGAATGAGCTGATAGCGTGTCGTGTTATCTTTTAGGATTTTTAGATATCAATTCGGCCATTTGATCTCTCGCTATCGGATTATGGACACTAATTATGACAGGAGCTGATATCATGCGGTCATATTATTTAGGTATTTATGACAATAAAATTAGCGTTCAAACCGTGGGCAACAGATCTACACTGGAATGAACTAAAAGCATCGAGTCTTATCAGTTAGGCATTTATAAGACGTAGCTAGCGTTCAGTCTAGAGCTATCAGACTTCAAACAATATCTATGTGATGTGCTTATAAAATGTCTTATCAGTTAGTCATTTATACGACGTAGCTAGCGTTCATGGGAGGTGATGCTGCCTTCTTGTTTTATCATTTCAGCATTTATAATAAAGGATTTAGAATTCAATTTATCGTCATCAGTTCTCGAACAGAAAAAAAGGAGTGATATGACAGTATGCTCTCTTCTGTCAGAAGTCAAAGAAGAATCAGAAGTAGCATCGGTCTTAATCTGGCGTCTTGGTTTCAGTCACTTTACCACCATTATGGTTTCCTTGTACTTTTTTTTTATATAAATACTTTCATGATAGCTGTTCTGATGATCTTTCATCTTTGATATCTCGACCTCACGAATTTAAGCACAGTAATAGGTGGCAAGTATAAACCGTAAGTTCTATTCTAATATTTTCTTCTCTCGTATTTTTCGCACGTGGAACATTCTTCCGATTTCTTGCTTTCCTGTAAAAAGTGATTTTCAAAAATTTAAATGCAATGTCCATCACCATCTTCTATCTCCTTGAATCCCGTTCTTTTATTTTCATCTTTCTCCATAATAATGTTTTCTCAGTTTCTTTCAATCTCAGTAACTCCTTGCGTTTTAGTATTTTATCGCCTTGCCTGGGGTGAAAAGATAAAAAAAATAGTCTTTCTTAATAACAGACTATCTATCGTTGTTCGTTTTCGGATACTCTTAATGGGATCAGTTGGCGAGTTGATCTCTTTCCATTTATGATAATAGAACTAGCATCCAGTCTATGGATGTCAGACATCGGACACTATGAATTGGATGCTCACTCCCCCATGTGAGCATTTTAATCATAGCATTCAATGTATCGCTCTCAGGTTTTATGTACTATTAATGGGATCACTTGACAGAGTGTTATCAGTTATGTATTCATAACAGTGAAATAAGCAATCAACCTATCACTATTAGATTTAGAAAAATCATAATTGGATGTGCTGCTAACACGTTGTCTTGTCACTTAAGCATTTATAATAACGGAACAAGCATTGAAGCTATCGCAAACGGATCTCGCACACTAATTATAGAATGTGCTTATAGCATAATGTCGTATATTATTCACTCTATCCCTTTCGGAGATTGCTTATGAAACAACACGATGCAGTGAATTATTATTTTTTTTAATATTTTGAATAGTAATGCTGTTTAACGTTTTTTTTACAGAACAGAAATGTTCTCTTATATGTCGTAAGTGATAGAAAATAAACAGAATAGTGAGAATACTCCACCCCTTTTTCTTCCAGAGGTCTCAGCGAGTCAAGTGCCAATTATATGTTGCTTTCCATTTTTATGTTCGTTTTTATAAGACTATAACAAAACACAGAATCCACGAATCTATATTTTCGTTTCTTTTATCGCCTTCCTAAATTTTATGTCTTCTTTCATTTAGGTCTATTTTCTTCAAATTAGACAAACATTGTTTATAAGAAGATATTCTTTTTCTCTTTTTTGCCAACTTTTTTTCATTTCACCATATCTTTTTTCTATTTTTCTAATATAGTTTTCACAATTTTTAAGTTTTTCTGTTCGATTACCTTTCATGTTTCTTTGTGATGTCGATATATATATTTCTCTTTTCCATAAATTATGCAAACGAATATATTTCTTTTCTCATTTTCTTCCTTCTGATTTTCTTTCCAGTTCCAAAGAGATGGGAGACAAAACATTCTCTTTTATTGGAAAATCTCTTCCGTTTAATATATTTCATCTCACAGTTTTAAACCTCATCCAAAATATTTTTCAGACTTCCTTATTTGGCCGTACAAATTTCCCATACCAGGGTAATGTTTGTCATTCATTATTAAAACGGTGTTTCTCTATTTTCATCCTCTCTCTCCATCGTTAATAAACTAATTTTTATCAATTATCTTCTAATATTTTCATGTCCATAGGATGTTAATAAATCTTACCTTAAATCGGTCAAAATGTTACCTTGTAGGTGTTAAGGGACCCATCTCATCACTAACATTACTGCCATTAGATTTTAACATCTATCACTTACTTGTAAAATCTATGCCTGCCATGGCATAACACACATTATTCTTCGCTCCCAGATTTCAGACATAGAATAAGCTGGTAGATAATCCTAAGTCAATCTTCTTCTTACCTGTAATTGCTTGGTTCATTCGGATGAGACTGAAGCTGACCTATCAGCACCATGTAGATGTAAAATAAAAATATAAGATTTCCCTGTCAAAGAAAGAAAGTGAGTAGTAAAGATTAGTGTGGGGGGAAAAGGGATGAAATAGGAATGTGGTGAAGAAGAAGAAGAAGAAGAAGAAGAAGAAGAAGAAGAAGAAGAAGAAGAAGAAGAAGAAGAAGAAAGTATAGGCATATTATAGAGAAATAAAGAAGAAAAAGAAGAAGAAACTATAGGCATATCATAGAGAATTAAAGAGAAAGAAGAAGAAGAAGAAGAAATTATGGGCATATTATAGAGAAATAAAGAAGAAGAAGAAGAAACTATATGCATATCATAGAGAATTAAAGAGAAAGAAGAAGAAGAAGAAGAAGAAGAAGAAGAAGAAGAAGAAGAAGAAGAAACTATAAGCATACAAGAAACAACTAGGAAATCCTGAATATCAAAAGAAAAGAAAATTAATTAAAACATAATAACGTAAAGAAAGAAAGATCATAAAGAAAGAATGAAAGATCATAAAAAAATATCGTAAAGAAAAAAGAAAGACATATAGAGAAATAATGAGAAAGAATTGTCATAAAGAAAGTGAAAGAAATGTCATAAAGATAAAAAGAAAGAAAACAATATCATTAAGAAAGTAAGAAAAAGAAAACAATATCATTAAGAAAAAAGAAAACAATATCATTAAGAAAGAAAAAGAAAAAATAAAGAAAGAGAAAGGAAGCAATATAATAAAAATGATAGAAAAAGATATCGCAAAGAAAGAAAGAAAAGAATATCATTAAGAAAGAGAAATAAAGAAATGTTATAAAGAAAGAAAGAAAGAAAGAAAGAGAAAGGAACAATTGAAGAACGTCACGTAAAAGATTTAAAGTTTTAATTTGAAGATTAGAATGATTGAAACTGAAAAGCTATTTACCAAAATGCATGCGAGATTTGGAGCATAAAGTATCCATTCGAAAGCCCCGGCGTGACTCACCCAGCACCTGTTTAAATATAGGATTATTAATGCAAATATAGACGCAGTGACAATAAGAAAAGCATTAACAAAATAGAATAATATTACAACGTTTTTTGAGTCAACATTATTAGACCATATTGTTGGTAATTATATGACAGAGCTTTAATATTGGGAATATACTTTTACCTCTGAGGCTTTGTTCTTTCTCATCCTTCATATTCACCAATGAGATGAGTCGAAAATTTAAACTCGCTTTCATCAAATTCATGATTCCTTGATATTTGACAGTAATTAGACAGTTATTTTGTGCATTTTAAAGAGATTGCATCTGGCTTTCACACACAAGCACATACATACACACACATGCACACACAGACACACACACACACACACATATGTATGTATATTTTGGCAGCATGTCATTATTGAGGGATGCGTTATTAAAGTCTACGAAACTTCTTCCTTTTAAGAATCTTTCAGGTTTTTCTTTCTTTTTCGGAAGTTTGGGTTTAAGTTGTTGAAAAGAAGACCTCCCCCAGTACTTGTTTTTTTTTTTGCCAAGCCTTTTTGGTTGTTGCATACTTTCTTCATGGCTATAACTTTTGGTTTGAAGTAGATTTATTTTTATTTTTATTATCATAGATAATATTTTTGGTTATTCAGGCAGTGATGTTGGATTAGTTCATTAGCACTTGGGAGAAGGTTGGTATTTATTATTTGGAGGATAAGTTATTAAATAAGTTTAAGGTTTCTGCCAGTATTAAATCCTATTTTATTTATGTTGGACTTTAATTGTGATGGTTTCAAGAATTTGTAAGCGTTTTTTGCAATTGGTCTTGTCGAGGATTTTGGTATTTTTTATTAGAATTTTCTTATTTCGGAGGATTTGAAGCTGTTATTAGTGATGCATTGTGTTGTTATAAGGTGATTTTTATTGCGATGGTGTCATTAAGATGGTATGTAAGACGACGTGAGAGAGTTGTTGTGTAATAATAGTACATGACTCAGTAATGATATACTGTCAAAATATACATATTTCAAACTCCACAACCCAGGAGCACATACCAAGAGATTCCAGAATAAGCTAATCGAAAGACAAATAACATTTGCCCAAGATGACACCATGAACTTAAACATTGAATTACAAATAAAAGAATCACTCGCTAACAATACTACAGAAAAGTGATATAATGGAATCTAATAAAAACTCTTCCAATCATTAACAGATTAAAAGAATACAACTAAAATTGAAAATCAACAAAAATTAAACAAAATTTATCAAGAAGCAATATTTTTACCCAGCGCCGAATCTAAATACATAAACCTCTCCAATATTTAACTTACAGAACACCAAAGGCAGTTTAATCCAATAGAAAACCTATTTTCCACCATTAAAAGAGATATATAAGTGAATGGAAAACAATATTTAATAGCAAAGGTTGAAAGACTACTGCAGGTAATGTTTAAAACGTTTCAAGTGCTATATTTTTTTTAAAACTTGAAATTGAATACAAAGTAAAAAAAAAAATAAAAAGATGTTCTTCAGTTTCTGGTTTGTTTAGCTACATTTCCCCCAAAATATAATATGATGTCTTTTGTCACAGTTTCTTTTCAGTTTTTTTTTACCTTCTTGTATCATAATGAGTCTTAATATGCTGTCATTTGTTTAATCACCGACCATCTTCTATTCTGCAAATGTGTTGCAAGCGATGTATTTTGAGAGAAATTCATCTTTTGGCATCAACATTTTTTTTTATTTCAGAGATGGACCAGTTAATCAAAAATTGAAGTTATATGTAATTTTATGGAGCTTTTATGGCTTTAATTCTGTTAGTACCATTCAAGCTCTATTTGTAGAATCGTTTTTACTCTGAGATTTTATTTCATTAATAATACAACTTTCATAACAGTTTTTTCGTTAATAAGTGTTTCTCTCTTATTCTATAAACAGGTAAATACTTCAAAGTCCCGCTCAGGCTCTAATACTTTTATCTCAGAATCTTTAAATAGGGTAATATTTTGTATACTTGACAGTTTTCCATCTGTCAAGCCCAAATTTAATTTTGATATCCTCACTAAATTGTTACTCTCCTATAATATCGTTTTCTAGTCTTTTTCTTCATAATTGAATGTTGTATTCCGTTTCCTTCATTAATTTCTAAGTATTTTATGCGCCATCTTGGTCTAGTTCCTTAATCTTGCTGATATCAATGTCTAAATCTGTAGTTTTCGTTAGTTTACTGCCTTTGAAAATGGCTTTGGCACATTTGTCGATCCCGAACTCCATCCTAATGTCTTAATGTCTTCGCTGAAGGTTTTGCCAATGCCGAGTAGGTTTTTCTGTTTGTTGTCATTCTTGGCAAAAGTTTTAAGATCATCACTATAGAATAGATGATTCAGTTCTCTGACTTTTATCCGTATCTACTGTTGTTCAGTAGGCAGCTGAGTGGCACTAATGCAAAGCAGAAGAGTAGGGGTGACAATGAATTTCCTTGGAAGATCCCACTTTTGATATTGATTGGTTTCAATGTTAATGACCCGTTTGTATAGTTTAGTCTTCATGCTCTCTGTTATAAATTTGTCCGTTGTGGGGCACACTCTTTACATTTTTGGCTAATGAGTATGGTGCACTAACGTCTTTATATAGTCAATCCATGCTCCGATAATGTAAATATTGGAACGGCTATTACATGATTACATTTCAAAGAAAAGTCAACAATTCCAAAAGAAAGAAAGAACCGTCAAGTGAAGGAAACCATCAACCTCGCCAACGAAGCAATAAGAAAAATAAAGGAAGAAATGGAAAGACCGATGAAACTGACAGAAATTAATCGTCTTATATAAGCAGACCACGTCAACAATCACATAAACAATAGGTGAGAAAGTAAAAACACAAAGTAAACGCCAGTCTGGAAAGAAAAAATAGGAACCAAAATAAATAGACTATGAGGACAGGAGGGGGTGGATAAGCCCCTCCCCCCACGCTCATTGAGGAGGTTTAGTGAGAGGTAATAATATGAGAGATTGGGAGAAGGGAATTCCCAAAAAAATATGTCCATAAATACGAATACGCGAAGCGAATTCGCCAGTAGGAGACGAATCGGAACAGAAGAGACAGAGGCAGAAGAGAGAAGAGATGCCCACGTGATTATCTGCCGAAGTGAAGCCTCCTACTTCAGCCTTGTGCCAAACTCTTCCAACAACAGCAAAGCATATTTTTGCCAGGTCGACGATAGTATTACTTCCGATTTAGATGCGGACTGGGCTGATAATCAATTGCATGCGAACTCTGATATAAACCAATTATTGTACGGAGGACTGATATAAAAACAGCATTTACTTTTGTTCAGTTTATTCAAGTATTATTTTTTCCTGTACGTCTGCGCCCTGCTTGGAACAGCCAAACACGATTCTATCTTGGCTTCCTTATGATCTAACAAATCACAACGTGGGATAAGGTTAGCTATGGATTGAAGCGGTCACTTCAGCGACCAACCGCGATGTTGGAAGTTTGGACGACCGGCTATTACATGATTACATTTCGAAGAAAAGCCAACAATTCCAAAAGGAAGAAAGAACCGTCAAGTGAAGGAAACCATCAACCTCGCTAACGAAACAATAAGAAAAATAAAGGAAGAAATGGAAAGACCTATGAAACTGACAGAAATTAATCGTCTTATATAAGCAGCCACGTCAACGATCAGAGAAACAATAGGCGAAAAAGTAAAAACACAAAATAAACGCCAGTCTGGAAAGAAAAAATAAGAACCAAAATAAATAGACTATGAGGACAATTGTCACTTCTAAGTAAAGTGCACAAGGGCTCCAAAAGGAAAGAAAGTAAAAGGAGACAAGTGAAACAAAGCCTTGACATAAAGAATAAAACTGACGTACCAAAAGTTAAAGACAAACTGAAACAACAAATTCAAGCGTAGGCACAGAGAATCAGGCGTCACGAAAAAAGAAAGAGATTCTTCTGACAAAAACAAGATCTTTAAAGAAGATGCCAAGAAACTATATCGAGAACCGGGGAAAATAAAATAGAGATAAATGATCCACCTAATATCCAAGAAATTGAGGAGTTCTCGTGTAAGGTATCGGAAAACTGCAAAATGCACAATGAAAGAGCTACAGGGATCAAGCAACAACAATAACAACACACACATATATAATGCCAAAAATAGACGAATATCAATATTACTGAAACAACCGCTGACATCTGCAGAACCAAAATAAAATAAAAACATCAGGAATAGACCGAATAGCCAGTTTTTGAGTAAAAAACTATCTAGCACCCACCAAGACCTCGTACGGGCATACAATGATAAAATCGTAAACCCAGAAAAATGCCCCTAATGTTTCATTTTGGGAGTAACATACCTACTCACCAAAACAGAAGAGACGCAGACCCGAAGAACTATAGGCCCATTACCTGCCTACCAACAATGTACAATATCCTCACGAGAGGATCATA